ATTTGCTGCCTTTCCTCTCGGCTAACCTATAACAGTGTTAACGGGTTCATTTCACAGGCAGGCCTGCTGTGTCAGACAGAGGGAATCTGGAGTTTGACCCAGAATATTAGCATATATTTTGACCACATTCTCAGAGTTCTAGTGACAGCTCTCCCTTCCCATCTAATGGGACACTAACCAGACTCTGGTAACCCTCTCATCTTTTAAAGCACCTAAGTGGGCGATGCTATGCATTCTGGGTGTTGAGGGTCTTTACAGATCAGTTAGTCATGAGACAGGGATCTCACATGTCTCCACCTTTTAAAATAAGTGTAATCATACTTTGTAAGTGCATAACTTGGTACTTAAATGATTATGTTTGATTCTCATCCATAACTACTTTCTCTTTGATGGTACCTACTACCAGCACGTGAGAGAGATCGCTTGTACCCCTAAATATGCTAAATTCCACCTTCTTTGGTGGGAGGTATATGTAGTCTCCGGGCTTCATCTCCATAGGTACACAATATATTGATGATATTGTGATTGACTCATTTCTGCAGTCATTCCTCACACAGTGAGATCATTAGGAGTGATGTTATCTCATCAAAGCTTTCTGTAGAGAAACATAACAGACCTATGGCTCATGCATTAGTGGCATTCAGCGTCATCATTTTATGAGTGATTAAGCCAAAACTGAAGAAGTTGGAAGAGGCGCAGAATTAAATACTGGGAGTTTCCCCCAACACTGGATTAAATCTCTTTTATTATACATGTTTGGAGGGAGGACCTTCTCCGTAGTGCCCAATAGGGCATTTACACTGGAATAATATTAGAAGAGAAACTGTTTGAACTTTACATCTAGTCATGAAAGTAGCAAAATGAGTGTCAATGGACTGAAAAAGTCAGGGGAGGAGGCAGAGAATGTGAGAGGGAGCAGGGGTGAGAAGGAAAGAAAGCCTGGGGACCACCTAATGCAGACCTAATTGGCCCCTTGTTTAGGTTCCTCTGAATAGTTTTGCATTATTTGTGTTTTTAAACATGCAATCACAACTCTCTTTGTAGAATCTGGTAATCACTAAACCAAAAATGTGTATTTAGTATCTCATTTATAAATTAGCATTTTTGTAAGTAAAGTTGAGATGGTTATTTTCTTAGGGTGCACACCCTATGGCAATAATGGATAAATAGCAGCAGACAAGAAAACAGACATGAAGGTATAAAACAATTTCAGGTTTTATTTTGTTAATGCAAGTATTATACATTCATTGATATAATGAATTATGGCAGCATTAATACATTAAATTGCTGTAATACTGTTTATGCCGTAGTGGTCTTAAATTCACTCGCCGCGTTATATGGAACATTGTGGTCCCACAACACTTACTGAGTTCCACTGCGATGCAGTAAAAATTACTTAAACATTGAATGCCACTAGAAACAACATAATTTCCTTGGCAGATTATAGATAATACAATACTTGTTATTTTTTTTAAATATAAAATAATAAAAAAGAAGAAAGAACAAAACATGCAACATTGAAACATAAGAGAGCATATAAGACACTGAGGTAACATTTTTCCAGTTCTTATAAATGTAGGTTTACATTAAGCATTAGGGCAGGATTTTAAAACTTGCATGACAAGCATTTTCATTCAGAACAACTTTAAAAGATATAAATAAAATTGTCCATTATCACGTTTCAAGGTTTATAATAAATACTGGAAAGTGCAGAACATTTTGTACAGTTTTGTTAATAATATGAACACTTATTGCAAACACTTTTGTTATAACACAAACCCCCAAGGTTTATTCACTGAACAGTGAATTCCAGAGAATTGCACTATTTAGGGATTAAAAACCTTTAAATTGATCTTTAGCAAATAGACCTACACATGTATTGTTGATGATACCAGGAGAGGATTAAGATCAGAGTCATACATTTACACAGGGCTCAATCCAAAACAGGTTTATACTAAATAAGAAGATTTATATAAATAACTTTTTTATACTTATTTATACATATTCAAGGCTGTTTACCAAATTCAAAATTCAAAGTGAATTCAAAATGAAATTCAAATTTAAGTTCAAAATAGCTGACCTTGAAAAAGCTCAAAGTCAGTTATGCTTTCAAATTGGATACTGTGGTCTTAAATGTAAAATTTGCATTGAATTCCCACTGTAGTAAATAATCCTGTATGGACCTATGGGCAGTCCTGCTTGGACTGGGTACTTTTTTTGCAAAAGATGTTTACTGCCAAATAAGTACTAATACAAATATAGGTAACTATCTACGTGTTCAAAGCAAACATTGCTTGTGAAAAGTGCCCTATTTGCTTTCTCATTCAGATTGCATGTGTATATATAGTTAAAATTTTGTATCTAATCAATCGCATGTAAATTGGCACATGATCATATAACAATAATCCGACTTAAGATATGAGAATTATCAATGCAAAAAAAGGTGTAAACGTGTTAAACAAAGGAGTATCGCTATAGAAACCTGTAGAGCATTTCAGAACATTTAGTACTTTGCTCCAAAATAAAAATTTTTGTCTTGCTACATCTCCACCAATGCCCCTGATTTGACCAAGTCTTGTCAGCTTCTGTTGGTCAACTGTGTGACATAGTGAGGGTCTTTTCCCTTAAGAGTTCCTCAGAAATTGTATAATATGAATTGTTCATTTGGTGAAGCATATATTAATATCCTACTTTGTAAAGTTGGGATGGTCTGTGATGGTATTTTCAGTTTAAAAATATATTGACTATTTTACTAGGTTTTTCACTGAAAATAGTTTAAAAAATGAGGATCACAAACCTTCTGATGCATTGCACATCGGGATGCTGTCAGTGCTCCAAACCGTTAGATAGGCTGTAGAACACTCTTCAACACTCTATAAAAACATAATTTACATAAACACACACAAAATAATAAAATATACATGTGTGTGTGTCACTATAACTTTGCAACATAGTTTATATAAACAAAGGCAAAAACATATTATATATATTAAATAGTTCCACTCTAAGCCCAATTTTAATCCTCCCTGCCTGCTAATATACTCTATCTTGTTAAAAATTGTGTAGTTATTGTGTATTTTAAGTTAACAATTTATTATAGCTGCCTACGAAAAAAGTGTACGAATAAACTTTTTAAATTCTATTTTAGATACAAATATTAAATACAGATTGACACAAAAATAGGGATAATATATTACTTGTAAAACAATATTTAAGAGGCAGTTAGTTCAAATATACAAATAAAACAACACTTTCACACGCTTCTTTGATTCCACAGTGATTAGAAAAATATACAGAATGTATTCTCTGCTGCAGTCTCCAACCTGCAAATCATTCTGATTTTGTTTTTAACCCCTTAAGGACCAAACTTCTGGAATAAAATGGAATCATGACATGTCACACATGTCATGTGTCCTTAAGGGGTTAAAGATGGTTACTGTGTTTTGGTTGCGTTTGTTTGTTTGAAAACAATGATCTGTTTTTAATGGATTAAATAGTGTTTTGTCTATTAGCCACTAATTAAACTCCTCTTCAAAAGATGGTTTTTTTTAATGCAAACAACAATGTGATATTATTCTTATCATTAAAATAGCTGCAATGGTCTACATATACAAACTCTTCCTATTTTCACATAAGGGTAACATACCATAATTATGCATTAATTGTTATAGATTGAATTGTGACATAGTTAGATATCTTGACAAGAACATTGAAAGACAGACAGACTAATTGGATGAAGTGAAAGATAGTTTCATAACTTGATATGGTTGGATAGAAGGATGAAATAGTTGTTTGTCCATTCTTAAGTTTTCCATTTTGACTTATTTGCAGTTATTTGGGATCTTCCTAAATTCATAGGCTAATCCAGATGACCGTGCCTACAGAAGGTTTCAGTTATAACTCTCTGATGAGATGCATTTAGGTAAAACTAATTATCTGAGGTTTCTCACGGGAGCTTGCCTTGATTTCCGGTCTAGACTGGCCTTTTCAGAGAAAAGGTAGTGATTACATTACAGCCTAGGAACACCTCCAGTGGCCACTCCTCAGATGGCCACTGGAGGTGCTTCCTGGGGCAGTGCTGCACAGTTTGCAGCACTGTCTTGAGCGTCACCACTCTCTGCATAGAGACACTGAACTTTCCCCATAGTGATGCATTGATTCAATGCATCTTTATGAGGAAATGCTGATTGCCCAGGCTGCCATTTGGCCCCACCTCCTTATCAATTTCAGCCAATCCTATGGGAAAGCTTTGGATTGGTGGAGATGATCAATTCTGATGATGTCAGTCAAGAAGGTGGATCGTGGGTGGGGGCCAGCACCAGCAGACCAACGCGGCGCTCAAATTAAGGTAAGTTTTATAACCTTTCAAGGGGGGATAGCCAGCTATATGGTGGTTTTAACACTAGAGGGTTAGAAATACAAGTTTGTGTTCCTGATGCTATAGTGTTCCTTTAACTAAAACTAGATTGAGACCCATCGAAGGGCGAGCTATTTGAGTTGTCTGTTCTCTGTTTTCTCTGCCCATCATTTTTGATTTGTTAGCAAATAGGTGAACACATCATGGTATAGTACTAAAAAAAATAACAATTTAGAAAATATACACCTATAGAACATATGCATGTAATTTGTTTTGCTTGTTTTCTTTGGGGGTATATGAAATTTTGGCTTGAAATAGTTGCGGCTATAGTATCTGCAGCTACTAACAATCTCTCCTTTTCTTGCCCAGACCAGACTTTCTGTAGCTGCCCAATCACAGACTTCTCAATGATCAGTGTTAAGACTTCTAGAAGTCTTTGCAAGGCAGGTGTTCTGGATTCCACTGAGCTAAACTACCAGGAATCAACAGGACAGACAATCTGATTGAAAGCCGTAGAAGTATAATAAGGTTCATTTATATAAGTGTGGATTTCTTTCGAAATCTGCACTTTTATAAAATGGAAAAAGCGAAGACACACTTCAAACAAGCTGACGGGCATTATGTTTTTCGAGTGTTAAATTGGCATAACAGCTACATAATATGCCACAACTGTCCAGCTCTTCCAATAGGTGTGTTTACAATCTAGGCTTCATTATATATGATCTTTCTCTTCACATGTTTCTGGGCTCTTCAAATTTTGGTTCATAAGTATCATGCACTATTTGAGCTCCATTGTTTTAGTTGTGTTACATGTATGGAAAAAAAAGATGTCCTTTCTAAAAATATTTTCCTAAAATTTTTAGTCACATATTACCACCTTGGTCAAGTTACTATGACAGAAAGACAAACATAAATGGCTAGATAAACATCAGACAGATAGACTACCCAATGTGATAAGTAACACAATGTCACAATTTAATTACTTATCTCAGTCGCCCTGGCAGTCCTTTAATACCATTAATAACACAATGACCATTATTTGCTGTTCAAGGCAATTCATTTTTAAAGCATGAATGAGACAGGCAATTTCAGGGCAGGAGTCAAGAATATAAGCCAAATTTTAGTATTTCACACAAAGCATATTCCATCTAAATGAAATAAAATGATATACTGTTCTCTTTAATATGCGTGTTCTGAGTACTGAAATAGAAGCTTTGCACATGTAATATAAATAAGAAGTAAATATGTTTGCAATGGATCCCATTTTGCTGTACTGATTAAAATATCACTACTAGGAATGCATAAGAAAATGCTTTGTTTGACCTAATTGCTAGCAATTAAAATAGCTTTGCAATTCATTTTCTTTTAGCATAATCAAATTCTTTAACATTATGTTTGGCTATGTGTTAGTTTTAGTTTCCTTAATTTGTGTTTGAAATTTATTGCTGAGGATAAAAAATTAATAATTTATCTTATAGCCTTTCTTTGTTTTGTCTTGGTGAGGCCCACTCAGAATGTTAATTAGCTTCAAATAGCAAATAGCCAAGGTAAATATTCTTTACATTTGCACACGTTTTGCATCAAGTAGCAAATTGATCACATTTTTAAATAAAGAATTTAAATGAACACATTTATATTAGGAATACAATGCCGTGTTCCTAACACTAACATGTTCCTCTGCTCTCCCCCCCTCTCCCCCTCCCCACTCACCCGTTCACTGCGGCACTCAAAAGGTTAAGTAACGCTTGAATTCATTGACCTTATTCAGGTGCCAAGGTTCCTCGGAGCTGGCTACCTCTTCATCTCCTCCAACATTCAAAGCTGAGGGGGGATCTAATACGTGCATTAGGTCTACCCATAGTAAAGCACAGTGTTTCCTGTGGTGATTTGAAGACGCTGGATGTCCTCATGCACAACGTGAGGATGTCCAACATCGTTTCGCAGCACAGAGTTAAACTCCATGAAACTGCAGGAAGTGCCTCTAGTGGCTATCTGGTAGACAGCCATCTTAATCTTGCATTATAAACATTGCAGTTTCTCTAAAAATGCAACATGTTTTATTGCAGGATTAAGTGGCATGGCCATCTTAACAGCATTATAGGCACCTAGGCAAAGCAGTGCACTGGAGCACTACCTAAACAACCACTTACAGAAATAAAAATGTAAATTATTGATAAACTTAACCCCTTAAAGACTGAGCCAATTGTACAACTTGTGATCAAAACAAAATCTAAACAAAACCTGGAATTTGCGCTATATGTCTGTTTAACCGTAATTCTCCTCTTTCATATTATGTTCACCCACACTTATTATATATCATTTTCTTCAGGAAACCCGGGCTTTCATTTAACATCAAATATTTAGCTATGAAACACAATTTAATATGAATAAAATATAAACAAAATATGAGAAATTAAGAAATGTTATTTTTTTTTTAGTTGTACATGGAATTTTAACTGTAAATGTCATAATACTGTTAGCTCTTTCTGCAATAAAGTACACATATTTGTATTCAGCGATGTCTAATAAGTAAAACAGTAACCCACATGTACAGAGTTTATGGTGTTTTGGAGAGTTACAGGTCACATTTTAGCACCTCACATTGAAATTTGCCAGACTGGTTACGTTGCCTTTGAGAATGTATGGTAGCCCAGGAATGGGAATTACCCCCATGATAGCATACTATTGGCAAAAGTAGACAACCCAATGTGTTACAAATGGGGTATGTCCAGGCTTTTTTAGAAGCCACTTAGTCATAAACACTGGCCAAAGTTAGCGTTCATATTTGTTTGTGGGTGAAAAATGCAAAACACTAATTTAAACGCTAATGTTAGCTAGTGTTTGTGACTAAGTGGCTACTAAAAAAGACTGTGCATACCCTATTTGCAATACCTTGGGTTGTCTACTTTTGCAAATGGTATGCCATCATGGGGGTAATTCTCATTCCTGGGCTACCATACGCTCTCAAAGGCAACATAACCAATCTGGCAAATTTCAATGTGAATTTTTTTTTATTTTTTTTTTAATATGTAACTTATCTGGACTCAATTCCTCAAATTGTAATAAATAAAATCACTTAATTATGTATAAAGATTACATAAACATACACATATAATTTAAATATATATACATATTCTATGTGTATATTTAAGCAATTATATGTAAATAACTATTTCATTATTTTTATTTATTTATATATTTTATTTCATTCTAAGAGTATTTTGATATGAATATATATATTCTCATCAAAAAACAGTTAGGATGGAATTACATACATATAAATATATATAATTATTTTTATTTTATTATTTTTTTTTATTTTTCATTTCTTTTATTAATTATATACACACACACACACAATCTATATATATATATATATATATATATATATATATATATATATATATATATATATATATATATGTGTGTGTGTGTAATTTCATTCCAAGTCCCCCTGCAGGCATCTCCATAAACGCTTATTGCAGTTATGTTATCGCTCTGTGAGAGCAATCACATGACCCCTGGGGTACTGATTCAGCAGGGGGTACTGCCTAGGCTGTCAGGCAGTCCCTCCAAAGCTGATCACGGTGGAGGAAAGTGCCAGGCAGGCTCAGTGGCTGAAAGCCGTTAGAGTGTTTAATGCCGCCGCAGTGGCTTTAAAACCTATTATAATGGAGATGGCATGGAACGCCGTTACAGCGTTAAGGGGTTCAACTTATATTTATTGGTACCTCCAAAATATGCAACACATACATACAATACATACACACAGACTGCTGAATACATTCACAGACTGCTGAATACACACAGACTGCTGAATACACATAGACAGACTGCTATACACATACAGAGTGATGAATACACATACAGCATGCTGAATACACACAGATTGCTGAATACGCACAGGCTGCTGAATACGCACAGGCTGCTGAATACACACACATACTGCTAATCACACACAGATTGCTGAATACACATATACTGATAAATATACACACACAGACTGCTAAATACACTCAGACAGGCTGCTGAATATACACACAGACTGCTGAATATACACACACACTGGTGAATACATACACACACACAGACTGCTGAATGCACACACACAGACTGCTATTACTCACATAGACTGCTGAATACACCCACAACCACCCACTGCTGAATACACATATAGACTACTGAATATATACACAGACTGCTGAATACACACACACACATACACACACACCCACACCCACACACACAACGTGCTGAATACACACAAAGACTTCAGTAAGGGGTGCAATGTGTGCAGAGGTACATAGGGTCTATCTTGTGTGTGGGGGTGGAGTGAGATGCACACTGTACATATTTTTATTTAAAAAGGAAAAAAACTTTTTTTTATGTCTCCCCACCCTTCTTACCCTTATCCAGGGGGGAGGGACATTGCACTGCCTGGTGGCCTGGTGGTGGCGCGTGAACAGACGGCAGATTGAATTTACCCTTCCTGCAAAGTGAGCACTGTATGAGAGTATTGACATTGTAACACCCGGCAACGCTCCAAACGACTTACTTGCGGGACTAAGATTCAGCCTCCCTGCTCCTAACTCCCTCTGCTGCTGCGAAGTGCCAGGAGGCCGGTGAGGGAGATCTTTGCTCTCCCCACTGACCCAAGTGGGCAGAAATCGAGGATGGCACTGCATGGTCTAGTAGGGAATATAAAAGGATCTCCCCTGTTTCCCTCAGCCCATAGGCATCTTTGAGGGGCCCCCAGAAATCTGCTCAATGTGCCCATGCGTAAAGATGGCCCTGTTAAGGGGACAGGGACAGTTCACCCAGACCACTTCAATGAGATAAAGTGATCTTGGTGCCTATAGTGTCCCTTTATTATGCTAAAAACGTAAACAGAACTCCTTTAACATTTTTGCACACAATGACTTACTTGCTAATGTTGGTTCTAATGGCCAAGCCAAGGTCTTTAAAAAGAGAACTATACTTTTACAACAGTGTAGCTTTACTGCAAGCAGGCCGCAGCCATCAATCAAGTTACATAGAAGTAGAAGCAAACGAACAATCTGATTTGGCAGCTAGGGAGAATTAATAAAAACATAGCAGAGATAAAATAGTCTCTATATTAACACAGCAAAGGATTTGCAACAAGCATATTTTGGAAGAAAATCACATAGATCTGTTCTGTAATAATATAAAGAATGTAAAACAGAACCACAGAATATGTTGTTATCCTTTGCACTCAATGATTTAATTGCTAACCAAGTCTATTCTATTAAGGTTTTGATATTTTCAATGTATTTAAAAGTAGAGAAATATGCTGATTTCTTTTTATTTATTTGTATAATTTCAAAAACATATAGAAACAATAAAATGCAAGTTGTGCAGTTTGTTTGCACTTTTGATCATCTGTGCATCATGAAGCTCCCTTTCCAATGCCTTTTGATTAGACTTGGAGTTTGTTGGGTTATGTTGCAATACCTCTACTAAAAATGTTAATAAATAGACATAATTCACTGTTTTCTTGTCAATCTCTAAAAAAGTATGCAACTATCAATCAAGCGACCTTTACTCACCTGTCAAAAGAAAATCATTAAAAATGTAAAATTTCAAATATCTCCCAACGTGTAAGGAACATAAACATACCCCCTTTTCCTCTATTAATTTACATCCAAACTAGTATTTTATTAAACCAAAACATAAAATGGAAAAAACTATGTATAAATTCTAGATATCTTGACTAGTGACTATATTTTAGATTTCTATGGATTCATTTTTATAATACGTAATATTGTTTTTGAAGAGTGAGTCACCTACCCAGAAAGCTTATTATTTACATTACAACTTGACTTCATTTTATACAAAGTCCTGTATACAGAGAATATTGAGATTTCTTGTGAAACTGTGAACACTAAATAAAATATTCAGAAATCAAGTTGTGGTGTTTTTGATACAGGTTACACTTTGTGCTTCCTTTGAATACTGTATCTGTCTGACATGTAATACAGTGCATAATAAATCAATCAATAAAAACATTTTAAGACACGGAGCCCTCATTAAGGTCAGTTTTAGTGCATGACACTTATTAATTGCTTGTATCTCTATTACCGCTCATGCTATAAATTATTGTCCCATGAACTGCCATCAGTCAAGCCCTGTGTTGCATTATAAATACAAGGTGTTTAAATTTGTGCCTATAAAGTGGATGATGTATGCTTGTAGTCTCTCAACATAACTGAAGCATAGGATACACTTGGAGGTGTGCAGAGAACCGATTCAGAAATAGGTGAGCTAGGCACAGAACTGCCCGAAGCTACAGAATCCCGGAAAGGAGATGGAGGTGTCAAAGCAGGCGAATCTTCCAAAACTAGCTTACTTGGAAGAAGTTCTTCATCTTGAGTATCTGTGATATCATACATATAATCCTGGATGAGGTTTAATTTTTCACTCTCTACCTCATCTGTCGATAAACGTAGTCCATCATTGAAGTCTGCCATCTGAATTGGAAGCACTTGCTGCTGAAGATTTTGAGATGGGTATATAGACCCAACTCCATTTTCTGGGCCATCTGTTGGGATAATCGAATCAATCTCTGGAATGCCTGTTGAAAATTTATTGATCACACCATGAAGCTGATCTATAATAGATTTTTGCAGAGGCAAACTCCTGGAGACTTGCTCAGGTAAATATACTGAACTCTCCTCATACTCATGAGAAGGTGGAGGAGTTGCATTCAGACGCCTGTGTATTACCATGGAAGGGCTGCTAGGTGGATCGAACCTCATTGACTCATTTTCTTCCTCCTCCTCCACATTGTATAATGTGTTAGTGCTGATATCTGAAAACGTGAGGCTTTTGTCCTGGACCTGGTAGCCTTTGGTTAGAGGCTTGATCACTGCAGTCTGGTTTGAGCCTGTCTCCTTGGTCTTCACGTGCACAGACAGTCTGTGCCACATGTGTTGCCCCTTCTGTGCTTGTCTTCCACCTGGTTCAGACCATGACACAGACTTTCCATTAGAACTATGAATAAAATAAAGATGGATGCATTTGAATAAACAGCATGCACATAATCTGCATCAAAAATAAAAATAGCACATGTAAATGTAAATAGTATTAATGTGAACCAAAGCTAGCTTGATATGGTTTATTTTGTTTATACTTTATACTAATTATAAAGAGATAATTATTAGTGTTTACTAATTTTAATACAGTATAAAGGATACTTCTAATAGGAAGTTACAATTAATTTCCATTATTTTAGTGTCACATATCTCTATTTTGCACAACTTTTGATATTTATACTAAAATATATTTGCACTAGTTTGGGAAAGAAGTATTTTTCTTATGAACTCATTCACTGGTTTATAATGGCAATACTGAAGGAGATAAGGGAGTTATTGCTTTCCTTTTTAAATACTTGCTTGTGCTTTTTTATATGTATTTATCCTCACTAATCTCTAAACATTTTTTAAAAACGTTGTTCTTTTGTTTCTCTACTTTATGAAGATGAATCACTAAATGTCTTTCTGTCTCTGGTGTAATTCCTGGCCGAAAAGGCCATGAAGACGCAGCTTTACATAGCCATATATCAATATCAAGACAATCTGTTATTATTTGACAAGTGGCTGCAATGGCAATGTACATTTTCATAAAGCAGCATTATGTGAGAGGTAATGAAAATGCATCATGGCATCCTGAAAAAGCCTTTCTTTTTCCTGTATTAAGATCAGAGAGAGACAGGAAAGATTTGTTTAGATTTCCATTAATGGTAAGAACATATTTTAGAAAATGCTTTATATATCTGTTGGGGGATGTTTTTTTTTTTTTTTTATATGAGCTGTTAAATATAGGCTACTTATTTATACTTTTGCCAGCCTCAAATTAATTTTATTTGGTGTCTTAATACATGATTATCTCATGAACATAGAGGAAATGCCTCAGTTTTCCCTGACATTGCACAGACAGTCATGCAGTTTAGAGGACGATTTAAAACCCTATAGGTGGCTTGTGGGAGTATAATTATCAAGTACCAAATGAAATAAACTTGTTAGGAAAAAAAACACCTAGATGGTTTTAAAATACCTAGATGATATTAAAATTTGAAGTTAATTAATAATTTTCCATTCGCTTCTATAAGGCCAATCTATGACCTGTATGTGAAGTAGTTACATATAGCTGTATATTGGATAGAGGGACAGAGGGATGGCAAATGGTCTTTAATTCATTTTTGTTTTCAAATTTAATTTATAAAAACCATGAATCATGCTATTTGCATCTAGACTTCATCTCATGGAAGTGGTTATAGTGTCTGGAGTTCCATGGCACCATCCTTCCATTCAGCGTTAATCTGTTTTTAAAGTTTTAATACCAAATAAGAGTTCTTAGCAGCCCATCCCCCCTGTGAAGTTTGGATTAATAAAGAATCATTCGTGTGAGCAGTAATAGGCAGCTGTAATTGTCTGAGAGAGTCAACTGATCGCTTTCAGCCTGTCATAGCTCCCGGTTCTGGTATTAATTGGTAAAGCTAGAAGAAAGGATGTAATCTCTGCTTTAGCTATACCTCCAGTATTTAGCATTAAACTGCTGAAAGAAAGGGTTTAACACTGAATGTACGCACCAAAGGCCCCCAGGCACTAAAACTAATTCAAAGAGATATAATGGCCATAGTGTCCCTTTAATGTGTGATTTTAATGAATGGTGGTATATGCAGGCGGTACAACTTGCAGAATAAAGCTAATAGATTAATTGCATTCAACAAAGGAACACTATGAGGGTAACAGGAGTCTCGCAGAGGCTACAGAGTAGCTATTTATGATAGTAATTGTTTTTATTTTATTTTTAATACTGCATTTTTAAATATTTTTTTAAATATGTTCTGAAGGTGAGAAATTTTTAGATCAGGTTATAAATGTGCATTATAAAGTAACACTGTGAAATGTTTTCTGCCTGTTTAATACATCTAATGGCATGACATATTATATTAAGAATTATTACATATAGTTTAGTTGAAAGACTTAACTGAAATGTTTATTTATACAACAAAATGTAATAATAATGAGCAATGTCCAATATGTGTTTTTTTTTATTTATCTTATTATTTTACCTATTTATTGTTTTTATTGCAAACACTCACTACATAATACCACAATGAATAAAAGATTGGCACAATATTGCAATGAATCATTAGCGCACCAAAGCAGTACAATGTATGCAATAAATAGCCTAAGATCCATGCATGCACATCTCTGCCCACATTAAAATGGCTACATGCAATAAATGCATGCACATGATATAAATTTGTGTTTAGCATAAAATCACTCAAGGTACATTTGATAAGATACACAAAGCATGCCTGAGAGTTGTTAAATGAGAAAAACACCTATTAAGGCAAAAAAACAACAACAAACAGTAATAAATCACACATTCTTGACCTATGTAATAATCATTAACTAGATGGAAACAAATCTATACTGTAACCTATAGAAAACACTTAAAATAAACATCAATGTCAACAACAAAAAACATATAGGAAAAAGGACAGTTTTTTATGTATCAAACAAGAATAATAATGTTTGTTTCATTTAAGGTATGCATTATAACATTTTTTATTTACAGTTCATTACTTAAAATGTAGGCTTACATTAAGGATACATTATGAGAAAATGAGAATGTAAATTATTAATTATGATTTCATTCAGACGCCAATATTTAAAACATTGATAATATAAATATGTAAAAAGGCTTAAAACTCATTTGATGACATAACAAGGTGACCTGTTTTTTTCCCTCAAAATCCTCTTGTTTATTAAAATTATTATCTAATGCCCTGACTCGATAACCTATGCCCACCTAGATTAAATTCCTGTTCTGTGTATACAGCAGTATTAAACTAGGCATAATATAACACTTATGCAAGATATTTAAAGAGGTTGGAGTTTGGATCCCAAAATTTAGACTTATTGTATTATTACCTACAATATGCTTGAAAACTCACATCACGTTTGACAGTCTTTGTACAAATACACATAATAAATTATTTGCTAATACCATAGAAAGGTTCTGTAGGTTTCAGTTAGGCCCATTTTTATATAAAAAATTCAGAATGGTCACTGAGCAGTAATGTATAGCTAAGTCACCAAGATTTTGCCATATATCTAATTTTAGTATAACTCTGAAAATATTTATAAAACCCCCCACTGCAGTAGCTTTAATCTGGAATTTTGATGGGTGTGAAGTTTCCCCGGTGAACCAAACTTTATTAATTTTTTTTTCAAAATACTAAAATATATAAAACAAATGTAAAATACAATATCTCACAAAAGTGAGTACACCCCTCCCATTTTTGGAAATATTTTATTATATCTTTTCATGTGACAACACTGAAGAAATGACACTCTGCTACAATGTAAAGTAGTAAGTGTACAGTCTGTATAACAGTGTAAATTTGCTAAATTAAGTACAGATTAAGTAAATTAAGTACAGATACACTTATCGAGAATAATTGAGAAGCTATATATATATATATATATATATATATCTTTTTTTTCTGGCAGCACAACAATGGGTAGCTCCTCCCTATCCCTAATTGGACAGGAACTTAATTAAAATAAGGGTATAAGTACCCCCTCCTCCCTCAGTCTTTTTGTTCCTGT